TTTTGATGGAGATGGACATCTTCACAAATTATCTCATGCACTTCTTCAAATTTAATATAAACTCCTTTTTCTCCTACTCTTAACTCTTATGATGGAGATGGGAAGGTGTTATTTTATTTTCCTTCTCACGAATATAACATTTTTCTTTTTCTTGGCAATGAAATGAAATCACTGGGGTCAAGAGCAGGACGCTTTAATTTCCTTCTACAAAATCCAAAGCAAAAGCTACAAACTGCCAAAGTGCCAATCACATGTTCATCAAATGCTTCAATGGTCAAATGAAACCTGTCTTCTTGCTCAATCCATTTCCCTATTCAGCATGCAAGAATTTAAAATTTTCTAGTGTGCTAGATATTGAAATGGGGTCCTATTGGTTTCCAATGATACTCCAATGTCATGCAAATTAGCAATCCTATTTTCTTGAATTATATTGATGGGAAAAAAAAAAAAAAGATTCTTGTCTTCCTCAACAATCCATGGACTAGCATTGATCAAGGGATCCTTGTGATTCAACCACCTCACTTCACATAATGCACCAGAATGGCCATGAGAATACAATAAAGCTAATTGATCCCACTTAGCATGTGGAAGAAATTCCTTAACCCTAGGGAGGGTAAGGAAATTTCAAGATCTTTGAATATTGGCACAAGAGTGATATCCAAACTATTACTTCCATTTGAACTACTGAACCAATCTACCCCTTGAGGTGGTAAGATCTACTTTTAGGCATGTATGCAACATGGGAGGCAATCTTTAGAAGCCATATTTTCATAATCCAATTTTTTTACTTGAAAATTTTCTCAAAATGTTCAGTTTTATTTTAATTTTAACCAATTAATGAGAAAAGATAAAAACAGCAAAAAAAATTCAAATTAAATTACAAAAATTGAGAATTATAGTTGATGTTTATGTTCAAGATACTTATTTGCTAAATTGAAAAAGATAAGGGGCATCAAATTAGAGGCAATATAAAAGAAAAGGATCAAAGTACAATCGGAAAAACTTTAATTGGACTGAACTCTTAACTATACCAGACTCAAGCCCAAATCTCATGGTCCGTAAACCAAAACCTGTTCCAATTGCAGACCTGAACCTGCAAAAATGGACCCAAAGCCAAAGACTTAACATTCAAACGGCACCGTCAAGCGGAAAACGGGCGGTTTGAGTTCGAGAAAGAGCTTGAGCTCCCCAGCTTCCTGCCGCCGGAGTGAGAACAGGGCAATCCAAACAGAGGTGAACCGCCACCGACCGAGGAGGTAAGGAGCAGATGACGGGAAAAGAAGTCGTTAGAATTTGTTGTTGATTTCAGCCTGAAGGAAGGTATTATC